AGTAAAGTAAATATCTTTGGGTTGTAGACTGTTGGTCAGACAAAGGCAGCAATTCCAATATGTCACCTTGGGCTCTAGGAATTTGTGACGGTCATTTTCCACCATTTTCTGTCTTTAGACAAAACTTTTAGACCAAACAATTGATGGAGAAAATAATTTGTAGATTAATCAATGAGGAAAATCATTGTTAGTTGCACCCCTATAGCGGTTTCTAAAAGGTTTCTTTCCTTTTCGTTTCATATAAAAGGATTTTTATAGACGTGACATTTTCAAAGGTTTCTTGAGAAAAAGGCAAACATTAAAGTCAGGAAAAAGATTGGAAAAGGTTGGGAACCTCTGATATACTGTGTCCTGTAGTTACCATTACTTTAGTTATACGTGGTATTATTTTAGCAAATTGTGCGTTTAACACATAGTGAGTCAGGTATGCATGCAACTGTATTGTAAGCATCCTCTATTCTGTTGTCTCCAACATGTGTGCTGACACAGCCATACAGCAGCGATAAATACTGTTTTAAAAAAAAGAGTCAGTGAACAGATTGAGAGGACCAGGTTTTTCCAGTCTATCAACCGGCCCTGTGCACCGAGACGAAAAAACACAATATGTCGCACTTCCCCCCTCAAAAATCCGATCACTCAACAAAATGTTTTTCTAAGCAATTACACCACGCCGCCATTATATCTGCTAAAATTTAATTGGATCTAGTGGAGTATACGATTGATCAGTAAGGTTGTATCGTTCATGCTACAGGGGGCACGCAGAAAGAGAGGTATCCATTTGACATGCACGACTGGACAAACCTTTTCACATCTGGAGCGAACATGATGAAAGTCAGTATATTTAATACAGTGCTGACAAGCAGTTTAAACTCCCTGACCCAGTTTTCCAGAAAGAGGCTACCACTAAATATCATTTCTACCTCTGGAGATGAGTAAGCGCAGCCCTGTCAGACTGGCACCATGTGTTTTCTGCAGGTTCACTACTGTCCTGGGGTTTGTGGTCTGGTTAATGGGCCCCTGGCTGCACTGACTGATGTGTGTGTTCGGCGTGTGTGCGTTCATGTGCCAGATAATGGGGCCTGCTGGAGGTCCGCGGAGGAGCCGTCTCTGGCTGTGCTGTGATGGGCAGCTTGGTACTTCGCTCCAGGCCTCGTCTATTGCCACGACACACTCTCACCAACACACATACACACACGCATAGAAGCGCTGCGGCGTGCACACACCTAACCACACACGCGAATCTGATTGACAGAGCATGCTGAGCGCCAAGCTGTCACTCACACTTTGGTTTCCAGAGTTGTTCTCTCTCTATCTCTCTTACCGCCTCACACACACACACAGACCACACTAACACGCACAAAACAACCGCATTCTTGGTAGTTGTCACATGTAAAAAGACATCACACCCGCAACAAAGCTGGGAGCTTAGCACTGTTGCTGCTTGTGACAAGCCCACAAAGAAGATAACAGTTAGCAGGAGACAAGCTTCAGTTCAGAACAACTTTTTACCCTCATTAAAAGCTCACTTCTTGCTTAACTAACCTTTCCTGGACCTTTCCTGCTTCTGCAGACTGGTTTTAACTGCTAAGAGGCTCATTAACAATAAACAAAAGCCTGGAGACAAAGCGAGAGTAATCAGTTTAACTGTAGATAAACATAAAAACACTTGAGGTCAGCGATATAAAAAATGTGTTTTAACACATCTCGGGAACATTTTGTTGAGGTTTAATAGCAAGAAAAACATCATGACAAATAGGTTCGGTCTTCGAAATATAGATTAACTGACATGAAGTGAAGTTGAATAAATCCATCTGGTTTTGCATATTTTTGGCAAGCAGTCCAGGTGAGGTCCTCTCAAAGCTTGAATTAACAGCGGACACCAGTTGGCATCTAGCAGGTTTACATTTAGCTAATACGATGAATGCCCTCCAGCCAGTCCCATTTTGGGTCCTCATTGGGACAGCCATGTCATAAAAAACTACAAAATCAGCAGCGCTGGAGCAGTTGGCGGCTTCAGTGAGCAGTAATGCAAAGCTCCCAGGCCTTGGGTTGACACAGACCAGGATAAAGACCCTGGAGCTGGCCGGTAAGACGTTAGCATTGCAGGATAAAGGCCCCGAGGCTGTCGCTAAGCAAGGTCGGGCTGTCTCAGGAAAAGAAAGAGAAACTTTTTAAAAAGAATAAAAAATAAAAAAGGCTCCAAAAAAAAAAAAAAACTCAGGAGAAGTTGAGTGACAGAAACAGAACCAACCTTTTGTGGCGATCTTGACATGGAGACAGGGGACTGCGACCTCATGCTTTTAGCCGAGGAGCCTGCTGACAACCAAAGAAAGGGAGGGGGAGAGAGAAGAAAAGAGAAAAATTCAAATTAGAGGACTGTTTTCTTCAAATCGCCATGATGAAACAGCATGAGTCATGCAAACATACACACATGGAGCTGAGAGGGCCAGTGGCTTAAAGCATCAATGAGTCAAATAAGCGCTGATGTTCTGCAGGTCCTTTAGGCTGCCTTAAGCTGTTTCTACATCCAACAGCTGTTACTGCTTTATGCAATGAGGGCAGAAAAAGTGAGGGGGAAAAAACACACACTCCATCTGCTTATTACGCTGCTGGGCAGTACGATATATCATAAAGCACTGGGGAATCAGTCAAGTCTGTTGCATCTGTAAATAAGTAAATAACGAAAACACAGTTTGAGTTGATGGTGAAGAAAACTGTTGTTGAAATGTAATGACATGCATTTCTCAGGGGGCCTAAAAGGGAGGGAAGGTGGTGGTGGGGGTGAATCCAGGAATTGACTGGAATTTCAATTGGGATTGACTTTAGCCCTCTCAAAGCCTACAGAGATTGTCTCGTCTTGTTCTCAGCTGAACTAACACATCTCATACCAGAAAATATCAACATTCCAAGCCAGTTAGTAAAGAAAAACGCTGCTGTCATCGTGTATGTGGGTGATATTAGGCAGCAGCAAGCCAGGAAACAGTCAGCCGAGAGCCTCAGATGGGGAAATGTCACAGTAGGAGGAAGTGGAGAAAGCGCCAGGTGTCAAAAGTCGGAGTGGAAAATTAGTACCATTCTTCATCGAGGGAATTCGCAGTTTAGTTTAGTTTGTTCGGCAGTTTACCTGAGTACGGTGGCCTAGGAGGTACGGGAGGGCATAGCAATTTGCCAACAGAGTCAGAGAAGGATGGAGCGCCCACTTTGACACTGTCAAGGCTCCAGCTACTGGGTGTGGGTCTCACTTACAGTACACAGAAACATCACAAGTCACTCAACAGGTTATGGGAAGACAACATGAAGAAAACAGTGGAATTATGCTCGGTTCAGATGGATGGCATGATAACTGGAAACATTAAAAATCATCACTTGATAGTCATCACATTCTGGCCTGCAGAGAGAGTAATACTGGTTTCACACCAAACATACAATAGAGCATACACTGCCCAAGATAGAGCATAGGATGAAGTGCATTTAAGACCCTGAAAACCTGTTTTTTCAATCAGATTCTTACGATGAGTGATGGATGCAACCTAGACACACAATCCTCTGCCACTTCTGGCTATTTCACATGACTGATTTCTGTATTCACCTTTTTTCTGAACACTGAGTTGGAAAAGGGTGATGTCATGTACTTGTGTGCTCCAATCAAGATTCAGCAGTATTTGAAGCAGAATCTGATTGTTTGTTTTTTGTTGCTTTTTAGTTTTTAAGTTGTTTTTTAAGGATATTTTTTGCGTTTATTTTGATAAGACAGGTTAAGATGGACAATAAAGTGGGGGGAGAACGAGAGTGGGTATGTAATGCAGCAAAGGGCCACAGGTTGGAATTTAACCTGGGCCACTGCGGTATGGACTCTCGCTCTGCCAGGTGGGCTACTGTAAATTTAACAACATAATATACTATCTAATGTTATACATAGAGTAATGCTCTAACACTTCAAGCCAAGTTTTCAGGAGCTTTGAGCGTGACCTATTCTAGTCTAAGTTTCTGATGCATTTTTAATTCTATCTTCCTGACATTTTGAGGCATATCTCAGTTTTGTTGTGTGTCACTGCTTTTTTGTTAGTACTTTTTGTCTTACTTGTCATCCTGTCTCTCCTGCATTTACTCCTTCCGAGAAACAGTAGCATTAGCCAGCATTGCAGAGACATAACATTAAGGTCAAGCTGTTAAACAAGCCTCTGAAGAGGTGATATTTGTAGGTGGTGGAGGATACTCTTTTACCAACAAAAGGAGCATTCATTGTCAGATGCATGCAAGTCACTGACTTGTGCATTAAACAATAATTACCTAAATTATCCATTAGTCCGCATTTCACATTGTTTCATTTTTAGTCACAGACAAACATCTTAAATGTGTTTTTTCAATGCTTTTTTTTTTTTATTTATTTTTGTTTTTGTTGTGAAAATGTCCACAAATAGAGAGAGGATATAGAAAAGAGAAAAGTAACGGCTGTTCTGTGCAACGACACACTTGCACATTCAGAGTGAAAAACAGGCAACAGATTTTTCTAAATATAGATTCCATATCAACAGGAATAAACTATAAAACACACTTTACTTAACCGACACTACTTTTGGTAGGAACCTCAGACTGTCCTTGTTTAGCCTTCAGGTTTATAGGTCGCATTCAATCAGACTTTAAGCTCTTATGTAGCTACTTCAAGTGCAGACATTACTGTAAAAATAAAATGTAATCAGACACTGTAATTGAAATCACAGTCAGGGTGATTGGTCTGGTCACAGTTTATAAAGTTGCCTCTGACTGGACGCCGCTACTTCACATGCTACATTTTAATTTAAAAAGCTAGAGTCATATTCAAACAACACTAAATTGGCATCTGGAGTTCTAATTTAAGAGAAAGCAGAAGATGTGACAAACAACACTTTTATACAATCACAGGTTTTGTGTAAATCTTGGCACCTTTCGTCACTGTCAGATGCAAAAAACGGTGTCATTTCACCATATTGTGGAAGTTCATCTATCTCACACTGCATTATGTACAGATCACACTTGGTTCACATGGATAGGTGTGTGTTTGAGTGTGAGTCACAAGGAAGCTATCACATCCACAAACCTCACTCTTTATTTTTAAGGTGTCTCTTCCGCATCCCCCTAATTACTTCACAAAATGTTCTTCCTTTGTTTCTGGCGGTCGAAGGGAAATAACTTTCACGTTTTATACTCAGAGTTCTGCAGAAGTTTGGAGAAAAAGCAATCTAACTCTTCAGGGTTTTTTTTAAATTACGCATGGTGGGGTCAGATTTCAGTCTCAAATCGCTGGCATATTTTTTGCAGAAAATGCAAGAAATATGCATCTCCCCTAGTCTATGCTGAGCAGAATGACAACCAGAGGGGCTTAACTAATAGATATGCATTCATACATATGAATGTCACACACGTCCATCACCGTCGCAGGAATAGTACCTGCCATTTCATTACTCTTTCGGGATGAGGGAAGATGAAAAGCTGTAATCTAGTCAGTGAGTCTGGTTAGGAGTCGGAAGGAAAATGGAGCCCGGTATGCGTGTGTGTGTGTTTCAGACTGTGTGTGTGTGTGTGTCCTGAGGAGCTCCCTGAAGCAGCTGTGTGAAGACAGATGCCCCCAGTCACTCAGTGGTCAAACTGTCACACGCACACTGCATGTCTGAACAGATGACTACCACCCTGGACAGTGGTGTAAGCATCAGTGAGTAATGGAGAAGATGCCCATTACTGCCGCTCCACTGAAGAGAGCTTTTGTTAAGAGATTCTACAGGAATTATGACTAATGGACACATGCTGGGGAAATGAGAATAAATGTTCTTTTAAATAACAATGAGGAGCACACAAAACAATATAAAAGTAATATTAAATGTGCACCTTAGCACAGGTTTAATAAAAAGTGTCTACATACAATATATTATTATTCTACTGGAGTGGGGCTCCCTGCGGTGAGAGTGTATTATACATGAGCGCATGGAAGTGAAGGGTGTAAAAGAATATGCTTAATGTAGAGTTTTACCTTTGTCTGGTGCTGAGAGGTTGGGGTCACTCCTTGGTAAAGTGGTATCGCCTATCTGATGAGGAGGAGCTCTCTGCACGCAGAAGAAATAGTCAGGAATGAATGTCAAACACATGAAACAGTGTGTTTGAGATAACATAGGTAAATGCCAGCTTTAACACAGAGAGGAATAATTGAATATTGGAGGGTAAAAATAAATATCAAGGTGGAAAATCTTCCCCTAACAAAAAATTCAATAGAATAGAGACAGACAGTATCAGTGAGACAGACACAGATGGAGAGGAAGAGTGTTGAATGCGTAATGACCTTTATGTCTGGTGTGATATTTGTAGAAGCGCTTCCTCTCCATCCTCAAAAAATATAGGCAATAGATGGCTTTTTTCTTACCCTATTGCTCTAATTACAGTGAATGATACAAGTGATCAATGTTTCTAATAATCAATACTCCATTTGCAGCTAATAGCCAGTCCTCCACTGCTGTCAGGTTGGAAATAATTATCAGGCCTTCCAATATCTATTCATCTGTAGACGATTCTCTTGATTCAACAAAAGAAAACCAGGTGAACTGTGCCGGTAGCATCAGCACTGACTGTGAGAGATGAAAGAGTCTTAAAAAATAAACACATTATTTTTCTGTTACAGTAGCTTTGTCACTGAAGGGAGTGTGTGTGATTGCGTTACGTGCTGCCCTTCAGCGAGAGGGGAAACTGCAATATCGTGTTGTTCTTGTTGGCTCTTGTTCTTGTGGTAACATTAGTTTGCTGTACTTGGATTTTTTATTTTTATTTTTTGCAGAAAAAAGGCAAAGTTCGGCTGTCTGACTTTAATAAAATATCAGTAACATCAGTTGCTCTTGAAAAAGTGCAATTCTCAGCTACAAAAGGCCTTGTGGTGCGTGCTCTCGCTCGGGAGGACAGAAGTCGCCCACTGAGATATGCTGTAAAATAAAAGGGCGACCTTGTTTTCTGCCCCAGCATGCACCTTATGGGCAGCTGCAGTATTGGACAAACATGCCTGTAATATATTTATTTTGTCTTATTCGAAAGCACACACTTGGCTGACAGGTGGAGCCAAGTGAACGCGGCAGACGAAAAAGCAACCATCTGTAAGAGAAACGAGTGTTCCTCTTCCATCACCCTACTCAAAAGAAAACAGCATGTCCATCTGGATACAGTATAGAGTCCTTTCCTTAATGATGTCCTCAGTGTTACTTAACATAGAAACACAGAACCATCCTGGGTAATGTTACAAACCTGTTTTCATTATTTCAACAAATCATGTTCTGTCCCTCAGTTCGGTAGCTATGGCTCTAATTAGAACATAACAATGAGCCCTGGGGTCTGTTTGCTATGAGAAAGAAGTGCTCTAGTGTATTCAAAACACATCTTTATCGCAGTTGGAAACAATATTTGCTAAATGTATTATCAACACTGTAATCTTTAGCTTACGTAACAGAACGTTAAGCCTGGTGATTGGATGTTTTCTTGCCAAATTGCACCTTGGGAGAGACGGTTAACCTCTACTCTTACGCTTTTATATATACAGTGTTGTACCTTGAAGACAGAAAAAGATATGTTCTAATGCAGATGTGCATCTTTTGTACTGATGATTCAACAGGGAGCGTTTCATGCCCATCACAGCAGTGTAATTGCTTCAACTATGAGTCACCTCCAACTGTCCACGGAGAAGATGAACAGGCCTTTTACTACATTAACCGGCGGTGCTCCTCCCACTTCACAACTCTATTGTAATTCTTTTGGTATGCTAATAAGCTACATGACGCCACACATGGGACAATAACATTTTAATTTTAGTTGGCAAATTAGATTTTTTTTCCATCTCATAAAACAATTTAGATGCACAGTTACGGTGTGTGCTTCTTGTTTGCCAGTCTCCATGGTGCAACATTAGACCATAATGCAGACACTTACACACAATTTTAAGGCAGTTTTAGACATTAAAAATACAAAAAGTTAAAATGAGAAAATGAGAATAGAAAACAGAGAGCAAAATGATGTACTGCTTAAAGAGCGCAAGTTGTCATGGTAGCATTAAGTCGTTTTTAATATTACCTCGACATCATGAAAAGTATTACACAGTGCCATTAAAAATTCCCATTACTGCACAACCCGTGTCCATAGTCAGGGTTAATAATCAGTGTGTGGGGGTCGGAGGTGGGGGGGACTGTTCTTCAGTCTGCTGGGCTGCTGATTCTACTCTAGTGCCGACATACCTTTTTATAAGTACAGTGTATGATCAGTGCCTTGGTGCAAATGTCTTCATTTGTTTCTTGTGTTTTGCTTTAAACCAAATATAGAACTATTTATGTAAGAGCAGGAGCACATTCTCAAACGAGCAGGCACATTTCCTCATTGTTCTGTCACTAAAAGGTCAAAAGCTCATTTGTCTTTCCATTTTTTCTGTTTTTCTTTGCGAGGCCATAATGTACTATTTATTCAGATTCCACAGCCCACAACCTTAGTATGTGTGTAGAAGAATACGTGTGTGTGTGTTAACCTGTGCAGGGTCTAGGGGGTTGGGGAAGATGGCGCTGACTGGTCTCTCTCGTGGAGACAGGCAGGCATTTTCTCTGGAATGCTTGTGTTTCTCTGCCATCTGAGGCGAACCTGGAATGGATGGTATGAGATATTAGAGCAGTAACACACACACACACACACACACACCATACACACAAACAGAAGAGCATGTCCAACACATAAGGGACCAAATAGCAGCAAGGTGTTAGACTATTACCCACAAATACTGGCAATCAGGAAAGGCCAATCTCTCTTTCTCCCTCCTAGCCTCACGACCATTCTTTCAGCCTCACTGGCTCCACAACATGATAAATGGCCTGCACCCCCTTCCCACCCACAGACACATACACACACACACACACAAACACACACATAACACACACACACACACACACACACACACACACACACACAACCACCACACCACACACACACACACACACACACACCCTCCTCCTCACCTCCTCAGTTATACTGGACAAACACAACAGAACAGACACATGCTAAACCTTCATACAGAAACATATGTAACACATGCACTGAGATAAACCCACACACATACACACACACACATGCAAATACTCTCTCCCACCATTTTCACAGCACTTCCCCTCATCTGATGTTAGCTACTGTGTAGATCTCGATCCATTAGCGAATGTGATACCACTTGGAAGGCTATCATATGAGTATGAGATACCCATCGCTGGCTCTCATTCAGATAACACACTAGCAATAATTCTCTCCAGGGCTTTATGGGTAGACAGAGGCCAGTTTTATAAGGGCGCCGCCCGCTGCCAGCAGTTCGCCAAAGGGGAGTGTATACGCTTCCATAAACGTCTTCATATATTCTTACTTTTTATGATGTGGATCAGGCAGGAACACGTTTGCACATTTGAACACAGCGAGATAAGAGGGCAGACAGGGAAGGCATTAGATATTCACACTCTACACTGTAGAGGAGGAGGGTTGGATGGCCCGGGCTGGACTGGAGATTGTATTGAGGTCCAAGAGGGATACTCCATAGAGCCGTAATCGTTTCTTACTCTCCCTTGCTCTGTCTTGCAATTTCACTGGCTCCATGTTTCTTTCAGCAGCATTTGTCTCCACGTCTCAGCCCATTTCATTTTTCATCTCAGCTCATTTTGTATTCTCTTTATTTTTCATTCTCGACCCTCTCTCCTCATTGTTCTCTCTCTCTCTCTCTCCCTCTCTTTTTACCTCATCTGCCTCTCCTATGTGTATCCTTAGCTGTCGTCTAACCTCGCTAACCTCACCAGACAGGACGCTGCGGTGATTTGAGAGAACATTGTGTCACTGAAAGGTCAAAGGTTCATTCCCTGTGTTCGGTGTGTCCAGCTGAACCTCTGTCAGCTTCCTCCGTGCGAGTCACTCTGGATTGAAATATCAACTAAAAGTCTATAGTGTATAACGTTGTAAAATGAGTGCCAGTCTCACCTCTGGCACTGGAGGGGGCTGAGCTGGTGACATTGGGCGAGGCAGAATGGTTGGAGCTGAGGCTTGAGGTAGACGGACTGGGCTGTAGGTGGGATGACAACAAACAAATTATTATCATGAACTAGAACAATATAAACATTAATTACCAGAAATATTTCCAACTTAACTTCAAGCCGTTATGTGTAGAATTTTTATGTGACCATGGAATGGATGCATTTTCCTGATGTCATAAAAAAAAACAAAAAAACAGAGAAGCTCAGTGTAATTTAGTGTCAGATGGTATGTCAGGTGGGTTTAACTACCATGGAACTACACGTGTTGCTGTTCCTTTATTCCACAGGTAAATGATGATAAGATAACTAAGAGCAAGCTCAAAATGCAAAAATTCTGGCTAACTAGTATCTATACTATTATCACATTATATTTGCCAGAGGTGATACTGTATGGTAAATATCATGACACAGCCTGAAGCCTGTAATGAAATTAAAATTAAACAAACAACAACTGCAACTGTAACCTTAAAAATGTGTCTCTAGGAAGGTCGAGGTTAAAGGCTTAATGCACTTTGTGAATTGAAATGTTTTATAATAATACTTCATCTCACCACTCACCAGTGAATTGTACTTGATCTATAGAATATAAGTTACGACGTCAAAAACAATATTGTAATAGGTTCAGTGAGATCCGTGACATTTTGTCTATGCTCCCTTTTATTCCAGGCCCGCCAGGTGCGCCAGACAGCTTGCCAGGAGTTGTCGGCAGCTTTCTGAATTGGCCAAATCTAGTTTAGATTACTGCCCAACTCCAGCAAGCTCCCTGGATGGAGCACACAAAGCACAGTGTCCTTTTTTGATATAATCATGACAATTTCCTTGGCCAGACAAAGCTCTGAACAAGCAGAGAGGAGCAGAGAGAGAAAGGGTCAGAGGAGAGGAGAAATGAGGGTGGCACGGAGTGAGGGGGATTAAAACGTATTGCAAGTGAAATCTTTATGGAAGGCAATGAGCATATTGGGATGTGGCCGTGTGGGAAGGCAGAAGAGGTATGTGCGTATGAGAGAGAGAGAGAGAGA